GCAGATGTTATCAGTCCCATTCTTGCAGACCATACAGAAAACGTTAATTGTACACTTATGTCGTCTAATTCCAGAAATGAAAATCACGCATAAAGCAGTGAAGGATTCCAAGAGTAGTTTCAGTAGTGGATTGCGACGGCTGTCGATGTCTAGAGATCATGATGATGATTCGCCTTAATCAGGCTTCCGGACTTAATACTACCCCAATTAGCAGTGTAGTGGCAGGTTCCAAGACTATATTTATAAAAAAAAAAATTATCTACATATTTTGAGTAAAATAACTGTAACAGTGGTGTGAAGTCAGCGGTTTTTAATAACAGAGCCATAGATTTACCAGGATGGCGTCTGGCCAATGACAATCCAGTGAAAACAGATCAGCATAAACCAATCAAAATTCGCGGCTAAATCGCGAAAGCGACGAATTAGTTTGGCGAGGAGCAGAAAACAGCTCGTAGAGATAATTCAATGTAGAGGGTTTTCAAGGAAGTTGAAGGGTGCAATAATTCAAAACAAGAAGAATATGATATTTTTATTTTGGGCTTCATCGAATATCTATTAAGGTTATATTTTTTCAGAGGTTAGAGGCCTGTTAATGCTCTCAGATTCTCAGTGTCCATAATCATTGTTTGTATATTACTTATGCATCTAATTTTGAAATAGGAATATTTTGCAAAAGCTCCATGTGCTCGAAAACCGTGAAATTTATCAGCTTACAGATCATAATCGCAATGCTTGTACATGCAAGCACATTATTTCTGTGCGAGGACTAGTTCCAAGCAGTGTTTGTGATATGAGCCCGTGATCAGAGAAGTATGAGCCGTTTTAAACACTCGCTGTAGAAATCACAGCGGTCAAAAATCTGCGTCTTTGCAAACGCCTTGATAGCTAAGAGACGGCCAAAAGTACTTCGCGACATTATGGTTTCAGGCCATCAGAACCACAGGTAGAACCACAAGAGTTCAAAACGAACAGAGAGGTTTCCTTGAAAACGAATAGCCATTTTGGTAGAGTTCAAAACAAGGTGGTAAATCGACAGAAAACCTTTGATTTATACGCTTTGCAAGAAGTCTTAAGTTTTCCTTTCCCCTACTTCCCTAATGAAGTTTCGTTTCACAGATTCCTTTGAACATTTCAGTTTTATTGTTATTGTAAATTTTGCTCGACACATGTTGATTTTTATGTTTTCCCTCAAATTTGTGCGCAGGAAATCAGCGCACGACTGATTACAATTGATTCATTGCGCACGCTCAACGTTTGACCGCTGTGTTTCTATGATCGCTTGGGCTCGATAACCAGCCGCAGGTCGGGAAAGGAGCCCGACTTCCTGCCACTAAGACCGGACTGAAGGTAGCGGTGAAGATCAACTCTCTCCTATGGCAGACATGCTCACTTTTGGTCCTTCATATTTAGATAGCACTGTAAATACTATTTTTCATTTGTGCTCATAGTTGAAAAAAATTCTTGCTGTTGAACAAATAAATACGAAGGGATCGCATGGGTTTATGGATCAGTATGACACTGAATTTATGGTGCGAAGTATAAATATTAATTAGATTATATAAATTAAATTAAACAAAATTAGCAGTAGCAAAGTGATTTGAGCAATTTAGATTACTTTAAATTTGATTGTGATAATAAGTATTTAGACAATAGACTATACATTTATGTATAACTTGCCTGTACTTAACCGAGCAGTTATAAAAAAATACAGTCAACCAGCTTTTATAATTTGTCCTCTAAGTAATCATAATTAAATGATACATTTTGAGGTTCTTCAGTTTTTCAAAACAAAATTCTCGAGCTCTAGGAAGGGGTGTTTATCATTTCACCTCGCTCCAGCCCTGAAGAGAAATACGCGTGTTAATGAGGAGCTATTGAAAGTAGTTGTATATTTTTGCAACTTTTGGTGAACTTGGCTCGTTTACTGAGAAAAAAAATCATGAAAATTGAGACGCAAGTGATGTGACGGATGAATCGTATAACAATAATAGGATTACGTATGATTCACGATCCTCGCAGTAGATAGCGCTATTTAAGCAATAGCGAAAATCTGAAAAAAATCAGGCCTGCACGGGACTCGAACCACTGACCTCTGCGATACTAGTGCAGCGCTCTTACCAATTGAGCTAACAAGCCAACTGAGAGCAGGCCGTTAAGTTGATTCGTAATGAACCCGTGAAAGTGATAAATGAGATAGGATAAATATATGAAAATCATATATTTTGAACTGCGGTATTTGATACGTATGATGCACGATCCTCGCAGTAGATAGCGCTATTTAAGCAATAGCGAAAATCTG